ATAGGATTTAAAATTTAAAAATATTTTATTAATTTTATAAAATTTTTTTGTAATTAAATCTTTTCTATAGGACCTACGTGTAAGTTTTCCATTCATTTTTAAGACCTTTTGAAATTTATAAATCATGCGTGACCTTTAAATTTTTTTTTATGAGAAAACAAATATACTTCATTTGGTTTTTTTTTTAAATTATAAGGCCACGGTAAAACCGTGCAAAAGATTAAGGTCTAGTCATATTTAAAATTATGAGGTTTCTACAATCATGCGGTGGCTTATCAAAAATCATAATATTAAAGGTATCATACGGAGGCTGGTGAACTAAGAGATCAGCATATTGATTAGCTTCTCTATGAACATAGTCAAAGAACTATCCAATCTCTCATAACAAGATATCTGATCTTCCTGATAATGTTATAGTACGGGTGACTCTCAGAGTAAGTACGGTTAATGAGTAACAATACTTCTATCTAATTAGAGTAAATATTGATTCTTGATAGATTCATATTCCAACAAAGTTTACACCGTTTGGTTTTACCCTCTATTATCACATGTCATTACCCTACTCTCAAAAAACTATCGCAAGGGATAATGTAGCACACTTACTTACATGCTTAGGACTCTTTCTAAATTCTTTTGATGTGAAATGTGACAACTTTCTTGGCAAATCATGGTGCTTTTGTGACGAGTGGCCTACTAAAAGGGCCCACCGATTGGACAAACCCAATTTTCATTTCACTTTGTTGTAATATCATTACTCTCTCTCTAAAAAGCTCTGAAATTTAAACTCAATTATAAATAAATTTCTTAACTTTGCCTCTTATAACTAAGTCTCTGATGTTTCAACTTCTTAAATATTAATCCCTATATTTTAAAAAATAAAATTAAAAATATTAAAAATATTTTAAAATTTATTAGTAATATTTTAAATTATTAAAACCTTTTAATCTTTATAAATATCAAAAGTTTAAAATATTTTTAATCTTTATAATTTTATTTTTTAAAATATAGGGATTAATATTTAAGAGATTGAAGCTTTAGAAACTAAATTACAAGAAATAAAATTCAAGGATTAATTTATTATCAAGTTAAAACTTTAAATATTAAGTTATAATGAGTCAAAATTGAGCGATTGAGTTATAACTGAGTCAAAACTATAAGGATTAAATAATTAATTTTTTCATAATTATATTTAAATGTGTCTCATGAATTGAGATGGACAGAATATTTATAAAGTAAAGTTAATTAACTTCATGATTTTTAAAGAATGATAGTTACTGTTCTTAAACCTGAAAAAACATTTGACTTTCTAACGTTCCCTCCCACTGAAATCAATGATTACAATAAAATGCTTCTTAGAATAAAAAATTTACCAACAACTTGGTGAAATTAAGGAGAGATAATATTGCAAAATAATAATAATAATAACTACAATATCTTTACTCTATATTTAGCATCAAATAAAACTTCAAAACTTTGCTCTTTAATTAAAACCAAAAAGAGTATTATAGTAAAGAAAAAAAGATTACAGTAAAATAGCATTGTGAAAGTACCAAGGTGAAAACTAAAATTAGAAAAGAAATAATCCCCGTTTAAAACTCTGATGTCAAAATGAAAAAAGAAACAAGCAAGGAAGAAATGTAATGCCACGTGATGATTTTTGTTATTATGAAATTGATCTTTATAAGATCAGGTGAGATTTGGTGCGGAGGAAAAAGATTTATCGATTTGGTTTCCTTAAATTTAATTTATATCATTTTGGTTCTTAAAATAAACTTTAAAATGGATCAAACTATAAAAATTTAATTCAAATTATAAAATAATCAATAAGGTTGAGTGTAATGAAAAGGATCAGTATCTCACAATGTGACAAACAAATGTTTGTATCTTTGTTGAGAATGCTAATATTAAATATCTATAAATTTCACCTCAAATAAGATTGTCTTTAATAAAAAATATTTATAAATAATAAAAAAATTTAAATAAAGTAAACTATAAAAACTTAATCTAAAATTAAAAAAAATTATAAAGACTTAAAAATTAATTTTTACATATATAACATTAAAGAAAAACCAATCACAACAAATAAGAACACAAAATAACATAATTCTGGGTTATTAAGTTTTTGTAAAAAAATGAAAAGCCCGTTCTTGACTACTTTTCATCTATTTTGACCTGTTCTATCCTGTTCACTTTTTGATTGTGTTGACCTGGACCCTGCATTGGCTAGTTTCTATTGGATCCTGACAACCATGCTATATATAATTATATTAATACCTTATCATGAATAGAATATTTTATAAATTATATATATATATATATATATATATGGATGAGAATGATGGATACATTGAGGAGGGGACCTTGCATTGAAAGTCAAAGTGTGGAAATTGATGTATGGGATGATTTGCACCGCTGAATGACATATCTCACTTGGAAAGAGTTCAAGTTGGAGAGTATGTTGCAGTTTTGGCGTCTTAGGCAACAAGAATAATTTGAAGGACGTCTTTCACAGCGTTCCAATTACACAATGTGGTGGGAGAGAGATCCCACTTCTGAATTGCTCTTCCTTCATCATTATCTTCATCCTTTTCAACTTTCAAGCAATCCACTTCCAATTCAGCAGTCCCTCGAATCATTACACGCAGCACGCCAACATGTTTGAGGACATTCGCCGGTAGAGTTTTTCTTTTCTTTTCCTTTCTTTTTAGTATTGAAAATATGGTTTTAGCAAAGTAATATTCTCACTAAATCGATCTAGCTATTTTTAAGTATAAGATGCATAGTATGAATCATAAAAATTCGGGTTAACCTGTCCGAATGAACTGATAAACTGTTAAACCAGTATTTTGATTGGTTTAATAAAATTTTATTTATGATTGATTTGATCATAGTTCGATTACGATTTTGATCAACTCTTGAATTAATATTTTGATCGATTCAATAATAGATTTAATTTTCAATATCTTAATAATATTTAATTCAATCAAGGATATATGTGCGCTAGCGTGCATTTTTTCCAACTCTAATTTTTATTTGTAATCATTTAACTGCTCCCACCAACCTTAAATAATTGTCATTTGGAGGTTTGTCTTAGTTTCAAAATAATTGCTATTTTACTCTTGAATGCTTAGATCAATTGAGAGATGGATTCTTTTCAACAAGAGATTTTAAGTTCAAATTCTAAATATGCAGCAGCTATTAAATTTTTGGTAGGAAGTTTATCCTCAAAGAGGTGCCACAAGCTACCAACAGGATTAATCTAGATGAAAAACTTGGGAAATAGGAGCAAAAGGAAAAAAAAAATTGTGATTTTAGGTTTTCAAAAAAGTATTAATAATGTTTTCCAATTGTTTATTCTGAGAGGTTCTAATAAATAAGGATATTTTAATAAAATACCATTTTGGTTTGTTGAAATTTTGGTTATTTATCAGTTTTCTTTTTTCTTTTGATACATATTTATTAGTTGTCTTAATAAAATTGAGACAATTTTGCAATGCAAATTTACCTCATTTTTTTGTGACGGAATTTGTAAGAGAAATCCTGCTAATTCCTTGCAAAAAGTTTTATGATGTCATTATTTGTGATGAAATAATTTGTCGCAAAATCATAAATCAATTTTCAACGGATATATATATTTTGTAATTTTATTCGTCGGTCGTAGATATATCTTACTATTCATGCATAATTATATTCACACACTCAGTTTTCTAGCAACAATTCCATTAACTGCTCTTCCGTCCGATGAAGCTGCAACTGATGCTCACATGAGCAAAGGAGAGGATTTTTTGCTTTGGACTTGTAAAGGACTGAAGGAGGCTCCTATTACTGTTATTTTGAATAATTGTAATAAGTTGGCAAATGTTTTACCGGTTTTATTATGAACAACTAACCAACATATGCAACTTTTTTAGCATGATTATTTATTTATTTATTTTATCAACAAAGTTGAGCCTAATGAAAACATGACCAACCAATATTTGAATTTACCAAAAACAATGTTCACACCTTGTCCTCTGTCCGATGAAGCTGAAACTGATGCTCACGAATAAAGGAGAGAATAAGGCTCTTATTATTGTGATTCTGAACAATGGTAATAAGTTAGAAAAAAGTTTTACCTGTTTTATCATGAACAGCTAATGTCAATCTTATGTCTAATTAATGTTTTTTTTAATATATAAATATACATTTGTTTATATAACCTGTAACTTATTTGTTACAATTTTTCTTTATTGGCAGCCTCCTCCCATTGTCTCTACAAGGCATATGTCAAATAATACGTCGAGCATTTTCAACACAATAGTCGCAGTGCTCTGGACATGATTTGCTTAACTTCCTAAACCGAATATCAATTTCTCAAACTTCTAATCAAATGGAAGTTCTTGGCTTTCTATATAATTCGTTTGCATTAAATTCATTATTTTTCCAAATCCCAAAACTTCTCTTTTGTTAGAGAATATAACTTCATATTTGTGAACATAATAAATTGATGCAGCTTATAAATAATGTTAAATTTTCCAGTCCAGCCAGCTTTCCAACTGGATTTTGTGCAATAAATAATCACATTTCGAGATGATTTTTCTAAGAAAATACCTGATTCATTTTGACCTACGCAAGACCCAAAAAAAAAAAAAATCCCAGATCAAAAGTTACTTGCTTTCTTAACATACATTCTGATACTAGAAAATATATAGCGAGAAGACCTTCAAGAATCTCCATTACTTGCTTATAATGTTCAAGTCTGAAATTAGAATTTCCCTTCTAACTTCAAAACAAAGAAAAGCATCCTGCCTATCAACGACCACAAGTTTCTTTAATTCAAACTTCAAATACAATACTAAATCTCTTTCTTTTATCATGTTTGATGGCGTTTCAGAATATATTCAACTTCTATCAGACAACAGGTCGATAAGTTCCTTGATGAATCTAGAGTTTTACTTAAATGAAAGCTTGGACACTCAGACTCATTGTTCATAGAACCAAAGGGAAATATAGAGTAAGATATGGGATGTTCTCAATCAAGGCTAGATGATGAAGAAGCAGTTCAGCTTTGCAAACAAAGAAAGGAATTCATTAAACAAGCTGTAGAGCAAAGAACTCGCTTTGCTTCTGGACACATAGCCTACACCCACTCTCTGCAAAAAGTTTCAGCTGCTCTTCGTGATTACATTGAAGAAGATCATGAACCTCATGAGTTCTTAGATTCATTCAAGAAAACCTTCATGCCCAACATGACTGTAGGGTTTGTACCCAGTTCAGTGGCAATGAAGGTGAACTACCTAAGGGCAAGTGGCAACCCAGTAATTTCAGTTCAGGAAAGGATTCAATCTCCTGAGATAGTTCAAGTGGAAGCATATTCTCCAATAAACAGGTTTGGTATTGATGGTTTTCTTGCCATGAATTCTTCATTCTTTCCTTATCATTCTCCCAATAACAGACCCAATCTTCCTTCCCTATCACCTCAAGCTTCCCAATGGGATTTCTACTGGAACCCATTTTCATCACTGGACTACCATGGCTACCCCACTAGAAGTAACCTTGACCAAGTAGCTATAAATAATGAGGCAAGAGGAGAAGAGGAAATACCTGACTTGGAAGAGGATGAAACTGAACCGGATAAGTTTACTGGGAAGAGATATTTAGCAGAAGAAAGAACAAATTTTGGAATAAATTCCTCCATGGGAGCCACAGTTGTAGAAGAAGATTATGACAACAATGACGATAATGATGAAATGGAATGCCCAGAAGAAGGCTGCGGCAGTGGAAATTTAGATGCGCCAAAAGCTCTAACTACAGGTCATGTTAAGCCTAGGCACAAGATTATGGCAATTGATGATCAAGATGGTGATGAAGAAACTCCAGGTTTTCCCGTCTATGTAGATAGGAGGCCCACAAGCATGGCAGAAGTGATCAGGGATCTTGAATCCCAATTCCATTCAGCCTGCAATGCCGCAAATGATGCATCAGAATTGTTACAGGGTGAGAAAGCTCAATATTTATTGACATCTAGTGATCTGCCTATGTACGATATTTTAGTATCAGAACAAAATATATTTATTTTGCAGGAAATTTTTTAAACCCAGTAGCTATATTCCGCTCAGCTTCATCACCCTCACCCTCACCCTTAGCAAGGGTTTTATTAAACTCTTCAAGCACTAGAGATAGAGACAAAGGTTATGATAGCAGTGACAATCTCCCAGAAGATCCCTCCATGCTTTCTGACAGTAGTCATCAATCGACATTGGAGAGATTATATGAATGGGAAAAGAAACTATACAAGGAAGTCAGGGTATGTTACTGAACTTTCACCCCTTCACTGTTGAACATTACTCAGATTTTCGTCAGCTTCTCTCAGTAAGTTATCAATACCATATAAACATTTTAATGTTCCTAAGCCCTGATACTAAGTGGGCGAAATTCATAAAATAAATAATTTGTAAAAATGAAAAAGATATACAAGTTTGTTCAAAATTATTATGAGCAGTAAAAGTTTTAAAAATTTAAATTTTTAAACATAAATATTTTTCAACTCAGATGTTGAACCAAAATATTTCCTAAAAAGTTTCCATCCTTGCATTTGAATGAACTCAATCATTAACTTGATGATATTATTGAATACTTACGACTATTTCTTGAGGTTATTACTTACAAACATTCTAATGTTCCTAAGTCCTGATAAGATCAGGCAACAACTCCAGCTTCAAGATAATATTAAGAATCATAATGCACATGTAACAAATAAGCATTAACTTTTTTCTTCAACAGTCTGGAGAACGGGTTCGGATTGTGTACGAGAAGAATTGTACGCTATTCAGGGATCAGGATGTAAAAGGAGAGGATCCCTCTGCTGTGGATAGAACAAGGGTGACCATTAGAGATCTACATGCCCAGATGATGGTTTCAATGCGCTCAATTGATGTAATTTCCCAGAGAATCGAGACTCTAAGGGATGAGGAGTTGCATCCTCAACTTCTTCAGTTGGTGAAAGGGTACGTGTAATGGTTACTGTTACTCCCATACAATTTTTTTCCCCAGATGAACTGTATACCTGTCCCCCCCCCCCCCAAAAAAAATTATTCTTTAAAGCACACAGCTATTATTCTCTTGTCACTCTTTATACTTAATTAGGAAAACCTTAGTAGGAATGATGGAAACATAAAATAAAAAGTGTATTGATAGACTCAACTTACGGAAGATATTTATAAGAAATTAATATGAAGAGACATGAAGTTACTATTTATCTGTAAAACACTCTATTTTATTGTGCATATCTCGCTTATAAAAGCTCCCCATATAATTACATAGTCATATAAGTAAGGCTTCAACTTGCTACTTTTTATAATTGAATTAAATTCTTTTTATGCATGTTAGTGACCCAGTTTCTTTTTATTAGATAAAATTACCTAATTTACACATATCAATAAAACAGTTTCAACTAATTTATATCTTAAAATTGTTTCCATTTTTCCACTTCTACCTTTACTTAATGTTCATTATTTTCTCAAATTTACTAAGTCGTTTCATCTATTCATTAGGGACATTTTAGTAAAAAAAAAAAAATATAAATTACTCCTCAACATTTGTAGATAGTCAGCCACCCTCCAAAATATTGTCATACAATTAGGAAGCCCTGGAGTTGGAGTATTAAATAATCTAACCAAAAAAGAAAGCACAAGATTTTCATTTGAAAAATCCAATCATTAAAACTGATGCACACAATAAGGAGTTGGTTTCACCTAAATCTTGTCCTTTTAAGGCTACTTGATTAATATCTTGCAGCTTCTCAAAGAAATGCTATGCAATCGCATTAATGTCCATACCTGCATAACACATCGTGCTGATTCTGCAATTGAACAACTTCCACAGCCTTGCAAGGATGTGGAAAGTGATGGCAGAGTGTCATTGGACACAGAAGAGAATCCTAGAGGAAGCCATGATCCTCCTACCCAGAATGCAGCTCTCAATTTCATCACCCGGTCCCCACAGACCAGCCCGCTCAACCTCCAGCCTCGAATCCGAACTGAAGAACTGGCGAGCCAGATTCGAGTCATGGATCGCTGCTCAGAGATCCTACGTCCACGCGCTTACCGGCTGGCTACAATGGTGCGTCAGATCCAACGCTCCCGTCGATGCTTCTCCTCGTCGATCCTGCAGCGGGACCCATCCATTAATTGGACTGTGCGCGGAATGGTCAAGGCGGTTAGATGAGATCCACGAAGCTTCAGTTCTTGAAGGCATAGATTATTTCACAGCTGGTGTGAGGTCGCTGAGCGCCCAAGAGGTTCGAGAAAATTCTCTTAGGAATGGAGGAGGATGGAAGAAATCAGATGGAAATATTGGGGAGGTAGAAGCAGAAGGAGAAGTTGTGATTGCAGAGAAAATGCGAGAAGATGAGATTATGATGATTTGTGGAGGAATAGCAGTAGCTATGAGCTCACTCGCTGAGTTTGCTGTTGATTCTTCAAAAGTTTATGATCAGCTTGTTGAGCTGTGGGGGCATGCGAAGTGCAAGGATGCTTCCCCTGTGGATTTGGCTGCAACATGAAGTTTTTTCCCAACTCTCCCTTTTTGGGAATTTGAGAATAATATTAAAAAAATAATAATAAAAAAATTCTGTATTATTATTAAAATTTAAATAAATACTTATCAATTTTATTATTTTTTATCAATAATATCCATTAAAATTTTAATAATTTATTTTAAATCAACAATAATTCATTTAAATTTTAATAATAATTAATTTTAAATTGATATAACTTTTCAATAATATATACAATTAAGATTTCCAATCAACGACCACAATATTGTAGGAATATGCTTACAAATTACAATTAAAGACCAATCCTCTTGGTGTTGTTTGAGGTTCAATCAAGAAAGAAAAATAAAATAAAATTCAATAAGGTTGATTCATTCAAAATTCTTGATTGGACTGCTTAGAAGACTGGTTTGCCAATTTATTCGGCTGACCAGCCAAGTGATAGAGAAACTCAACTTTAAAAATTCATCAATAGAATTCAACACCCAATACAATAATGTAGAGGATGATTGTCTCCAAAAAAGAATAAACCAATTGACAAAGAAAGAGATGTGCCTTCAATTGACTGTAAGGAGTGTTTTCGCATTAAAAAGAGTGGAGAAATCAGCTTTGATATTCTTAGAAATTGTATTCAATGGTGAAAAGGGACACATGCTAGAAGTTCAATTCGTTCATACACATGGAAGTTTAGCTTGATCTAAAAGGAGGGTTTTCTTTCAAATGTTCTTTCTTCGTTTCAAATTGAAGATAATTTAGCCTATAAAAAAGCATTTGACTATTGACATGTTATCATAGATGATTAACAAGTGGATATTTGTTTAATAGTAAGTTACAAAAATTAATAGACCTAATCTAATTTTATAAATCTTGCTCCAATAAAAAATAATAAGTTATTTGACTATTAACAAATTACCATTTGACTATAAATAATGAACAAGGCCTATAAGTTATTTAAACTTTTTCATGAACAAATGCCCTCTTCTTAATCATGTATGATAACTTGCTAATAGCCAAATACTATTGTTATAACAGAAGAAAACTTGTAAAATGCTATAGAGATGATTATATAATTTTCTCTAAAACCTTATTTTCAAATATAATCCAGGGAAATGCAGTGACGTTTCATATTTTTAGAGTCCTTTAATATTAAAAAGCTACAGGAATCTTTAAATGATGTTTTCCCCTAAAAATTCTTATCCAAAATCATTTTTATTAATTTAAATATACATTAACTGAAATAACCTTGTATATCTATAAAGGATATTTTAATTGAAAAATTTAAATAAATTAACATCTACAACATTGTAAGGAACATCTTCACAATTGCAGCCTTGCAGGAAAAATCAAAAACTAATAGTTTTTTTTTTTGGATAAATGAAACGAATATATTTGTATACCATCTAATTTTTTAAAATAGTGATAAATTAAACTCAATCCAGAGGCAAGATGATGGTTCTCTTTCTTCTGATCCCAGAATATACCTTTAAAGACACTATTTGGCTATTTGCACAACTTATTGCACAAGAAAAGTGAAGATAGCAACACTCCAGAGATTGAACTTACAGCATTAAAACCTTTAATTCTCAAAAATTACCACTGAAAGAAGGATGATTTACTCAGGTCCCAAATATGAAAGGATCACTGTCCTCACTGCATCAGCTTTGATCTTGTGACCTTTAAATTCCTAGGATTTGAATATTCACAAAGCTACCTCAAACCCGCCTTCTGATTTTTGACGCTAACATTACCCCAGATCCTCTGTAGTCTCCATTCCTTCAACTCTACATAAAACTGCAGCATCCAATCGTGAAAAACTATAGAGACTGCTTTCAGAAGGCAATAAGCTTTAAATCACCGAACATGTGTCCTAAATAATTGTCTCAATTAATAAAATGGTACAGTATTTATTTTAGACAACTTATTTTGAAGAACACTGAGAAAAACATTAAAAGCACCAAGTTAATATTTATAAGATACACCCTTAAAATGACTTGACTCAGACAAAATCTGAAGATATGCTAATTATAATTAATAAAAAATGACTGAAGGGGGAAAATTGATCCTATTATTGGTATGGATGGTCAATTACCAAAATTTTCAATTTGCATGATAACAAGGGAAAGAAGTGATCAGAACAAAATTCATTCATCATTGCCATAGCTTTCATAGTCATCGTCTAGCTCTGCTTCTGCTTCATATCTTCCAGAAATGTGCGTGAGGAAAAGAATAACTGCAACCGCCTGAGCTGCCAAGAAGAATTTGGCCCTTCTTCTGAAGGTTTTCTCTTCCTTTGTTTTCTCCATCTTTGGTTTCCTGTTCCTAGGCTTTGAACCTGAAAAATAAACATGAAAATGATAAATGAATCTAAATGAAGATGGACAGCCACATGGGAAATAAACTATTTTCACCTAATTATTTAAACTAAATTAGTAGCATGGCAAATGCAGGACAGACGGGGTCAATCATATAAATATATTGTCTTTGTTGTGATTATTTTTATAGATTTCCAGTTTTTTCTTTCATAATTATAGATAATTACAGAAGAGGCAGTCAAGTAATAACCAGCTCAAATCATTTTCTACTCCCCTCTTAAACTAATCCACCTCCTAGCCTCCGTTTTTTCCACATTAAAAAAAAAAAAAAAAAGGTTTGGACATTTACTATGTCGCCCCATTAAGAGTACTTCATTATAATGTTTTTGTAGAATTCTAAGCGAGTGAGTGTGTGTAATGCGTCAGCAACTCAGCATGAGGCATACTTTTCCCTTCTGCTCTACTTTTCTCTTCCTGAATTTCACAAAAACTTTATAGTCAAGAACATTAAGAGATCCAGACTAGTGATGTGAGGTGACCCAAAGAAATTTAGATGCCAGACCACATATTACATGTTTCTATCGCCATCTCAACCCCTGGGATTATTTGTTAGCAGGTCTACTGCGCCTATAAAGCCTAATGAGAGTGAATGGAGGCACCATCCATACTTTCAGTTATAAATAATCCCCGTGTCCCAAATTATAAAACAATTTTAAAGGAATTTTTTGTTCCAAAATATAAGACAATTTGAGAAAAATAAATTTCATTAATGATACTTTTTCAAAATTACTCTTCAAGTGAAGAAAGAATTGAAATGATATTGTAACACAATGATTAAGTGAGTAGGGATATTTTTAAAATTTTATTATGAAAAAGGAAATTTATAACGTGTCATTATTGTGTTTTATTAACATGCATAATCTTGTTTGGGACAGAGGGCATATTATTTAGAGGATTTTCCTAGTGTACCAGTAAATTTCAGACATCCTATTTCTACCCAATGACTTTTAAATAATCTCCTTTGAGATTAGAACAAATAACTAGCCCTCATTCATGTCCGTTTTCTCACTTCTGTCTGCAACTCCATTTTGAAGGAATCTAACCAAAAACCTTACATGCTGTTCTGTGAAGCCAGAAGCCAGGTTGTAACATGTTTAGGACAGTTTACAAGAAAAGTAAACTCCAGAAGATAATTACTACTAGGCAGTCCAGCCTAACTTCTAGATTCATGATGCTCTGTATATGATCTAGTGACAAGATCAAGATCCTTTGCTCAGAAATCATAAATCAAGCACATGATCCAATCGTTCCTCCAATAAAACAAAACGAAAGTAAGCATTACCAAGGTCCGGAAAAGATCTTACTCCAATTTGAATGGCCTCTTGAAGCTGATGACGATGCATCACCGTGCGAAGGTTGGCCGGAGGATTGAAATGTATTAGCATCTATGAGTTCTGTCTTACATTTTTGCACATATCTCACTAAATTAGCATGTTCCAAAAGCTTGGTCCTTAGCACTGATGTTTCCTGGTAGAACACACAAGCCAAAAAAAAAAAAAAAAGTTAAAAAAATGGAAGTCATAAAACTTTTATAAACATAAATCCCATCCCCTAAACTATAGCCCACCACACAAGCATAACGCTCCAACACTGGAGCTAAGAAAAAGTATTTTAAAAATAATTTCTAAAATTTAAAAAGAAAGTAATATATGATTTTTGTCAAGAAAAGTTGAGAAGACAAGTATCACGGGTAGAACGCAAAAAAACTACTGATATTGATAAGAACAATAATTTTATGCCAAAAACAACTTCACGAATTCCCTGGCCAAAATTATTTTCCTACATCAGATTGAGCTTCTAGTACAACATAATTGGTAATTCTCCATAAGAAGAGCATTCGGAGCCAAAAATCAAACACCCCCAATTTGCTAAGTCAGCTCGGGGGTAGAAGTAAATGTTGCAGGTTTCCTATCAAGTGCCCTTCCATTTAACATTTACTTTCAAATTACTAGAGACAGGTCAATACATCCACCTACTTACTCAAATCAAAAGTATGTGCATATAATGTCTAAATGGAACAGATGAAGGACCAGAGTGTCATATCTCCATTCTCCAGTTTCGCATCTTATCATAGCATTATTAAAGAAGTCTAAATCACTAGGAGTAGCCTAGCGATGACATGAATGGATACTGGATAGTTAGCAAGAGGTACATAGGTCAAAACCTCTATTTTGCCATGTGATCAAAGAAGGGTGAATTTGAGGTTTGAAGGAAGCTTAATGATTAAAGGCTCCAATCCTTTTCTAAAACTTCAGGGAAAGGAATCAAAGTTTGTGGAAGCATTACTGCTTCAAAGCTTTAGACAGTGAAGTTACATTATTGTCTTTTGACCGTATCTAGTCAATTCAAAATTTCTGTTCAGAAACGCTACTGCAAATAGTCTTAGACATGAAATCTAGGAAATGCTAATTTTATAAAGTAAAAGCTATCAAACAGATCAAATATTTGGTGGCAAAAAAGATTGGTTACCGCGTTTCTCTCACGAATCCTATCTATACTGCTCTCAGAAGCACTCCTCTTTATTTGGTGCATGAAAAGGAACCATCAGCCTTTCATGGCTAGTGCATGGTGTTTATGATCCAATCCTTCAAATGATTGCTCAAGTTACTTAGACAACCATGTTCATCTTCGTGTTGTGGATCACATTGGTATTTATTCTCTTAAAAGAAGCAAGATAACAGTGATAAATTATCATAATTCATTCTAGATTGTGTCATCTTTCAAGCAAAAACTCCACAACACAAGGAAACAAAGATGCAGGATATGGGGATATGAGCTTTCAACAACTGATGATGATCAAGGAATTGTTAAAGTTGCCAATCTTTCCCACGATTAACCATGTTAAAGAGAGTATATTTTATGCCTATGAAGGAAGTAACAAAAACGGAGGAGAGGGGAATGAATTTTGTAGTGGAAAAGGGCCATAGATATGGTGTTCCATGTTTGTCAGGAGGGGCTTAGAAAATAGCAAGTATTAGCACATATGATATCATAAATTTTGAAACATAATACCATGATACATCTCTTTTCTTAGCAATTATAGGACACACAGGCCATGTCCTACAATTTTTAGGCTTTGGTAAGTCTCCATGGCTGTGTAAAATACTTTTTAGAATATCCAATATTATTTTAAAGAGTAACATATCAAAATCACAGCACATTTGATAATATAACTTACAGGCAAAGCTTGTAAAATGATAAGAGCATGTGCAAGAAAAATAGCATCCAAGCTTGATGGCCTGCATAAATAGAACATAGCATGAGAATACATAATCAGGAGGCCCAAATTGATACTTACTCCCTAGTAGAAATATAAGCTATGATATTCCAAGATAATGGTGCAACTAAGTAGACGTTACATCAAGGAAAAAAGCTAGAAGTGTCACCTATTCTCAAAGAAATAGTTTTGCTCCCCTAAAAATGTTGACAGCGCATCATATGCAGAATTAGCTCTCGAGTAAATCTGTCATTCAGTAATAGCTACATATAAAAAACCAAATTCAAGAGAAAATGATATTTATCATGAAAAGGAAATAAACCAAAAGAAATAGAGTATTGGACATAAGAGGGGAAAGAAGGACCCAAAAATGCACAATTTAGCAAATGTAGCACTGATAAGATCTTTGAGAACTCTCCATCTCCTCAGGTATCCCCAAATAAAGCATCAAACACATTAGAGAAACAGACCTCTTCCTCCTTTACTTCAGCGTTGTCTTTAGTTACTCCATGTTGCAGCTTTAGCAGGTGAGTTTGCTTCCAAAACAGAAGCTTTCCTATAGGCCATGGAAGACCAGAATAATAAATGTTATAAGCAGAAGAACTGTCACCTCCTACCCAGAGTTCATATGCAAGTGCATCAGCAAGCCATGTGGTGAGCATCACTTTCGTTGGTATCCAGTCCGCAACCAAGGAAAGCCCATCATCTATATCAACAACATCTTTTTTCAAGCACTCAATGAGCCCACCCTTCTCATTATTATATGCCACATAATCACCAGCCTCAAAGTAAGGGATTTTATCTAAACACCAGAATCCACAGAAACCACAGTAAGTATTGAACATATAAATGCATAGAAACATATTTCAACATTCAGTAATCAAACAACTACACACACAATAACAAATGTGCATGAAAGCGCACAAGCCACAGACAGAAGATACAAGTTGAAAGACCATAACCAGGGAATAATTATGGAGAAATTGGAGGGGTTAATACAAACGCGGGTAATTTAGCATTACTCTAATTGTGCAAGTAGAATGGCAGTATAATCTACTATGAAGATATTTAGTGAGTACAAAAAAAGCCAGAAATAAAAAGCAAAAGAATCGAGCATGAAACAGGTGAAGAATGGGCAATTTATACCAGAATCAGGGTAGTTCAAGTGGAAGTCCACGTCAAAGGGAACTTGAGCCAGCTTGAGATAGATGTAAGCAGACAAGCACTGAGGACATCCAGTTGGGAGGCCATAACAGGGCTTTCTCACGACCAAGGTGTTTCTTTCCCTCTCACTCGATTCCGCCATGCACAAAAATATGCAGAAGAATTGAACTGAACTTTCCAAGATAGAGAAATAGTATAATGGATGAAAGAAGAACTCTTGGACAATAGGGTTTAAAGGCTTTAGGTGTCTCGCGAAAGCAGTGAGGAAGAAAACGAGGGAGGGTTGTCTTGCGTTCTGTCTTTCTTTTCTGGTTCGGTTTTCTTCTTCTGAGAGGCATTTGGGTAAATTCACCCATCCCTGGGCCTGAACGAGCCCACTGGACCGTCTCTGTTTTCTAGAGTTTAATTCTTTCTTGTTTCTCACTTGCAAGAGTATATTTTTTCATAACTATGTAATATTTAATATTTAATAATGACAGGTAATTAATTTAAATTCGAGTGTCACAAATACCATCAAAATTAATCCAACAGGTTGATATGAGTAAAAAAAATTAAGTTCAATTTATATATATTAAATAAAAGTTAAGAAATGAGTTAGTATTATTTAAACCTAATATTTTCTAATTATTTAAGCATAATATTTTCTAATTCTCGCCTGCATTTTGACTAAGAATTGAATTCTAAATGTAGCAATTTCATATAATTTAAACTAGGTTTCAATCAATTTCCTTGCCAATTATAAATGTTTGATTTGTTAAAAAAACTAATATAAGTTTTAAAATTTCAAATGAATCATTAATCATTATATTATTGCAGTAAGCATAAATTCCATGTTTCCTTCCAAAATTTCTAAAAGGGGGGAAAATTATATTCCTTGTGTGTATTTCTCATAATATATTAAGGTTATAGATTTTTCTGATCTCAAGCGAGATTTTTTTTTCCCCTATGCATACTTTAAAACAAAATCTATCACTGAAGAGAATTTATAAATAAGTATCCAATAACTATATAAAAAATTAAAATGTGTTTTTGAGCAATAAAATTTATTTATGACAATTATTCATGTGAAATCATATATATTTTTTTATTTTTAACCTCCAGCCTGTGCGTAAGTAGGCTAAATTCTACCATTTATGTCAACTTAAATTTATAATGTATTACTCTAGTCTTTAATATAATATAAAGTTTAATTTTTTTCGATCCTAAATATATGAAAAAGTTAGAATAATTAATTTTTTTAATTTTATACTTGTTTATTTATTATCATTTGAATTTTTAAGTAACAATTAATTATCATAATTCATTATAAAGAAAGATAAAATTAAAAAGATATAATTTATTTTACACTTTCAATATTACAATCAGTATTTCTTAAATATAAGCAAAGTTTGTTAACTTTATCTTTATACTAAAGAGGGGAATATCTCATTATATAAGCTAAGTACAATACATTACATGAATAAAAGCTAGAAACTTTAAACAAAACTTACACTGCGCTGCGCTAACGTCAATCACAGATTTTTGTGTTACATGTGTTCTTATGATAAAATAATTTGGTGATAAAACTTATAAAGTTAAGATTCTTAATTCTGATTTTCTCGTTGGCCAAAAAAAAAAATTCTGATGTTCTCTAAACAAAGTTGGAAACGTATAAGATTAAACAAAACCAAATAATGAGGACATATTCTAATCTCCCAACGTGTGAACCGTGTCGTGCACCAGTGCACACACGTGTCAAGCGAAGGGGTGCTTTGAACTAATTTCTATTTATCAGAGGGCATATTTATTTTGGCCACTTTCCACTTTTGTCCCGTTGTGCCTCTTGTGGCCGGGACTCAGCAAAAACCCTGCCTGGAATTTGCCCTTTTTGTACCCCTCTCCAATACATTTCATTGTCGTCGTCATCGTCGTTATCGTCGTCATCTCCTTCTCTCTCTTAAGATTTATCCTTTCGAAAGAATCTAGGGTTTTGGACTTGTTGCTCTGCTTTTGCTGTGGTGAAAGCTCACCTAGCTCTATGTGAGTCTCTGTCATTCTCTTCAAGCTTTCAGCTGCTTTTATTTTTTAATTAGTATGTGCATGTGTGAACTTTTTGTTGGTGTTTTCTTTCACCCTTCTGTGACCTCGCGTTGATTGTTTCACTCTTCAGTGTTCGCATACTGTGAATTCTACTGCTTGTCTTGTGTACTTGAATTGGTCGATGATATGGGGTTGCTTGGTCGGCTGGCTTGTCTTTGGTGACGAGCTGGTTATCTTTTGTTTTGATCGTGTTCCACTAAGGATCAATCAGTCCAAATTCACCTGAATTACATCCTCCCTCTCTGGTTTCTGCGTAGGACGAACGGGGGAAATCGGTTTGACTAGTTAGGGTTTGTTTAATCTCCTCTCACTGCTGGTGCTTGTACTTAATTATATTACAGGGTTTGACCGCCTTGGTACTTTCACTTGCGCGTGAAGCTATAATATTTTGTGTCTAGTATGAATTATGAGTTACTTTGTTAAATTAATTTCCTCATCTATTTGGCTTTTAATGATGCTTTATCTTCATAGATTCACTTTGTCACGTCTATCTCTTTAATTTGAATTTGGGTCAAATTGCGTTGATATCTTAGAGCATATTTGAGTCACTTAACTAACTGCAACGACCTGACATAATTGTTGTGCATGAAAGATGGGTATGAATGTATAACATCACGATCAAAGCTCTAATTCAGTGTGGTTTAAATGCCAAAAAATTGTCTTTGGATAGGCAGGTATTGAAGAAGCATAATAATGACTTACACTGCGTAAACTGGTATGTGACTATCAAAATTGCAGTGATGCTGCAAGTTCATGTAAAGTGTTCGTGTTCTTATTTTGTCAGCATTTTAGTGCAAGTTTTCTTGTTTTCCGTACTGATGTAATAAGGTTATTTCTCATTAGACATTAATGCCAATTGAACATTTTATGGCTCCACTTTAGGAGACGATGTGGCATTTCTCAATTTAATTGCAAAAGAAGGCACAAACCAATTTGAGTGATATGGCAACTGAGAGTCCACTTAGAATCTCAGGAGCTGGGAGCAAATGGCCATCCCTTAAGGAAGCTTCACCTTTTGGCCCGCCATCTCATAACACGGCAGCAGAGGATTTGGGCATGCTTTTGAAGGGCCATAGGTTCCATAGTGGTGGAAAGGATGTGATACCCAACCGAAGTGGCAGTGCACCTCCCAACATGGAAGGTTCATTTCTAGCCATAGAAAACCTATTATCTCGGCAGAACTTTACCCAGAGTGCAAGTTTGGAAACTCCAAACAGACCCATGCAAAAATGTAAGTCCAGAAATGATTTATATTGGTCCAGTTTATTTGGCATATTACTACTGATCCATGTCAAGCTGAACCTTAGACATGCTCTCCAATTATCTCATGGAAGATTGCTATTTTGTTATATCTTATGAGCAGTATTAGCATTAATTGGAGATTTTCTTCTGCAGATGTTAACGGTAAAGCCTCTTTGCATTTGCCACGAGGCACTCTTGCAACACACAAGGAGGAGTCTGAGGATGATCAATCACCACAACAGCCAGATGATAATGAGTTTGACAAGACGAGTGGAGTCTGGCAAAGACTGGATGCAGCTTCAGTGGGAGCTCAACACAAAAATATGGTTGATATGATTCAGGTGATTGTTCAGATGCTTACTTATATTCATTTACATTTTTTGATCATATTTTGATACTTCCACCTTCACTGCTTTAGTTTCCCTTATCTTTTACCTGCTGCAGTGGGCAGTAACCATGACATTTTTAGGTTTATTTTTCATTTTTGCTTGTGATTGGGTTTGAAAATTGACTGTTACCAATCAATATAGTTTTTCTTGCCTCCATCAGTGTAATATGAGATTATGCATGTGTAATTCTTGGTTCAAAATTCAATCTTTCAGGAAGATTTTCCCCGTACTGCATCACCTGTATATAGTAAGTCTATGCCAGTAAATCATGGAATCGTGGAGGAAGCGATTGACTTGGATGCTGGTTCAAGTTCTTCTCATGATCCCCTTGTCACCATACTAGATGGTTCTAAATTCACTGCGAATGCAGAGGATATGAGGTTGTCATCAACTGTTGATACCTCTGCCCCTGTTGCAAGCTCATCATCTCTTGTTTCCACTGGTAGCATGGGTTCTAATGATCTGGATGTTTCCGTTGTTGAGTCTCAACTTAAGGCTCTTAATATATCTAATCTACCAAATTCAGAAAACCAGAGTTATGAAGAAAAATTGAAGCACATTTGCCAAAATAATTTTGTTCAACCCCAGATAAACCAGCATCGAAACAATCCATTTGAAGTTCCCGGTGCCAATTCTCAAGGAGTAAATGGTGCATATGCTGGTATGGAACAGTCTCCTCTCAATCCCGGCAAGTTTTCCTCTGATGTCCAGCCACTACTGCAGTCATCTGGGTTTACACCCCCACTATATGCCACAGCAGCAGCATATATGACATCAGCAAATCCATATTATTCAAATTTGCAGGCTTCAGGCATGTATGCTCCTCAATATGTAGGTGGATATGCTTATAATCCCTCTCCTATTCCTCCTTATGTTGCTGCATACCCTCCCCATGGTGCTGTACCGGTTGTTGTTGATGGAGCTACTGGTTCCAGTTTCACTCCACAATCACCAGGGGTTTCAGCTGGGGGAAGCATTTCACAGGGAGCTGAAATGGTCCATGCAAACAAGTTTCTTGGACAATTTGGATTTCCCCTGCAATCCTCTCTTGGTGATCCTATTTACATGCAATATCATCAACAACCCTTTGTTGAGGGATATGGTTTTTCTGGTAATTATGATCAATTGGCTTCTAGGTCTGGTGCTGGTGTTGCCCAAATTGGTCCTTTTGATTCCCAGAAGAGGGCTAGTAGTGCCACATATTTGGATGATAAAAAGTTACAGCAGCAGCGAAGTGGTATTAATGTGGACTCAAGAAGAGGTGGGCTCATGATACCTAGCTATTTTGGACATCCACCAAACATGGGTTTTGTGATGCAATATCCAAGTTCTCCACTTCCTAGTCCAGTATTGCCAGGATACCCGGAAGGTGGGACCGGCCATCCAGGAAGAAGAAACGAAATGAAATTTTCTCCAACTTCTGGTAGAAATGGAGGTGTGTTTTCTGGATGGCAAGGTCAGAGAGCATTTGACAGCAGTCATGACCCCAAAATTGATAATTTTCTTGAGGAGTTAAAGTCTGGAAAAGGTCGTAGATTTGAGCTGTCTGATATTATTGGACATATCGTTGAATTTAGGCAAGTGATCT